GGGGCTCCATCCCAGGACCCTGGGATCACGACCTGGGCCGAAGGCAGACGCTTAACGACTGAGCCACCCAGGCGCCCAGGGAGGCATTTTTAACTTTGGTGGCAGATACTGTGAGGCTCCCGAGGCGTTGGGCCGGTGAGAGTTTCCGCAGCTGCACGCACTCACCCCAACATGCGAACCAGTGCCTGTGGCCGTCTTGGTGAGCTTTTCCCTGCTCCATAGCAACTCGGAGTCTTCTTCATATGCTTATTGGCCGTTCGTACATCTTCTCTCGTGAAGGATCCAGGCAAACTCTTTTGCTCGCTGTTTGTAATTGGGTGAACTTGTTTCCTCCACAGATCTCACACTAGCACGAATGTGAAGTATTAGGAGACGTTTTACACTTAATAATATCACGTGTATGCTGCTCCCTGACCCTCTGTTTACCCCCAAAGTTGTCCGAATCACATGCGATGATTTTATAAGAAGCTCTGCTTTCACATGAATTGGCTGTGCCTTAGGTTGCTGATTAGCAAAGAGCTACTGAACGGATCGTTTCAGCTCCTGATGTGCGGTGGGTAGTTAGCTCGGATAGGGAGCAACTGGAGCCTCTTTCACTCCGCTCCGAATGCACAGGACAGTGGCGGAGACAGGAGGGAGCCCGCAGCCGCCACCCCCACCGCGGGGCCTCCTGCTGATCCCGTCCTTGAGCCAAGAAGTCAGGCTCACCTTTAACTCCAGCAGAAGCAGCTGCTGGAGCACCAGAACCTGATTTGTGAAAATCTCATGTCTCTAACACGGATAACATTTGCAGGCACTCTCTACCCTTTCTTCATCCACCTTAAACGTAATCATTTCAGTTAGCAGAAATATCGTAGATTGAGATCTAAGTATTCATAGGACTCCAGCCTCTGTCAAGCTATCAGAAACTAACTCTAGGGGCGCCCGGGGGCTCTGTCGGTGAAGCCTCTGCCTTTGGCTCAGGTCATGATCTCAGGGTCCTGGGATCGAGCCCCGCATCGGGCTCCCTGCTCCCTCTCTGCCTGCCACTCCCCCTGCTTGTGCTCTCACTCTCTCTCTCAAATAAATAAATAAAATCTTCAAAAAAAAAATTAACTATTCCAAAGTTACCAGGCACCATACAAAGTACGAGTTTCACAAGCATCTTTTCTACACTGTAGGACACTGTTAAAAATTGTTACTTTTTAAAAGGGAAGTCACCACTGAAATGCCCAGAAGATAAATTAGTGGCAAACTAGTGGCCCAAGGTTCATGTCAAGGGGCAGCCACGGCTCAGCTCTGGTCATCCATGCCATGGGGGCTGGGGGCCTGCTATTAGCGCTCCCATTTTTCCAGAAATAGCAGAAATCTGGCCTGTTGGTAAGTGGGCAGCGAGAGCCAGGACAGACGCCCAGCCTGTGCCGAGAACACACGAGCTGCCTGGAGGGGCCCTCCTTCCCCTGGATCTCGGTCCACGGTTTTCCAGGGAGGCTTTCCCTCCCTGGGTCCATGGCCTGGCCTGGCCGGTTTTCGGTGCGCTCGGCCCCCCAGAACCTCACTGCAGGGCTGGGCTCCCGACCACGACCACCCTGGCCCCCACGGCACGGGAATGCCTGGTGTTCCTGGCGTGGCCGCTCCCGTGGGTCACCACATGCTCCCGCTTGTTCTTACAGTAAAAGGTTTAGTCGTATCAATCCTGGAGCTTGGGGTCCCTTGAAAGCGCTCTTTGCTGATGGCGCCTTTCACAGCCGGTCGTCCTGGGGCGGCTCCAGCCACGGAACCCTGTTCTCAGTCTGGCCTCAGCCCAGGCCCTGGCCAGCATGTTCCGAGCTGCGGGTCCTGAGACAGCCTGTCCTGTGCTGGGTGGAGACAGACACCCACAGAGGGATCCGCCCACGCGGATGCTGTGTGCGCTGCGTGGATGTGTGCTCACTCCTTCCAGAGTCACTTCTGCCACTTGCCCCCCTGCCCCTCACTTACGCAGTCCGAGTCTTGTGGGTACTCTCCTGTCAAGGCTCCGTTTCTACCATCTTATTGTGTGTTTTCCATTTACCTTTCTTTCCTCCCAGAGTTCGTGTCATGCACTGTGAAGTCTGAATCGTGGCCGCTGCTTGGAAAGCCCCATCTTCTGTTTCTGTTCATGGCGGGGTGGGGGGGAGGTGGGGGCTGTGCCTCCGTGACTCAGACCCACACGCCGGGCCCACCGCATCGCCCGGCATCCGACCCCACTGTGCTCCCCTCGGCTCTTCCTGGCTGCCGGCTGCCCTGGATGTTCCGGGAGCTGTGTTCTGGATCAGGGGGCTGGGGGCAGACGTGTCGCTCCTTACTCTGCTGTCAGCCTCGCCGCGTGCATCCTGGGCCGTCCTCCTGCCCCTTTCTCCCCGCACCGCCGTGTCTTCTCCAGGGCTTACAGCTGAACCTTTGGAGGCCTGTGGGCTACAAAATGGAAAAACTCTCATTTTCCAGGGAGTTTAGCTGGATCCAAAATTCTAGAGTTGAAGTTCCTTTCCTTAAATACTTAAAAAATACTACTGGTTTGGTATAACTGATGAGAAGTTCTCAGTTAACCTAATGCTGTTTGTCTGACTGATGGATTGTGTGTAGAAGCCTCTGGAATCTGTAAACCCAGGACCTGGGTGTGCAGGTCTCTCCTAGACGGACATTCTCACCAGCCGCTGCCCCCAAACTTTCCCACCTTCAGTTCTCAGGGGGTCCAGGTTTTCTGTGAAGATTTCTCCCTGTTCCTCTTCCCCTGAACCGCACACGTGTGCTTCCAGCCCCCCACCTCTCCCCTCCTGCCCTCCGCCACCCACCCCTCCTCTTGGTACCTTCCTGCCCCTGCCCCCACGCCTCCTCGTGGGTCCCCTCCTCGCGGGTCCCCTCCTGCCCCCTGCCCCTCATCCCTCCTCACAGGTCCCCTCCTGCCCGCCGCCCCCACCCCTCCTCGAAGGTCCCTTCCTGCCCTGCCCCTCCTCACGGGTCCTCTCTTGCCCCCTGCCCCTCACCCCTCCTTGCAGGTCCCATCCTGCTCGACACCCCTCACCCCTCCTTATAGGTCCCTTCCTGCCCCCTGCCCCCTACCCATCCTTGCGGGTCCCCTCCTGACCCCTGCCCCTCACCCCTCCTCACAGGTCCCTTGCTGCCCCCTGCCCCTCCTCACAGGTCCTCTCTTGCCCTCTGCCCCTCACCCCCCCTTGCAGGTCCCCTCCTGCCCCCTGCCCCCTACCCCTCCTCGTGGGTCCAGTCCTGCTCCCTGCCCCCTGCCCCTCCTCGTAGTCCCCTGCTGCTGGCTGTCTCGTCTCTTGAATCTTTTCCTTGACTTGTCCGTCTGACTTGGTTCTTCTGTGATCCTGCTCCTTCTACTTCGTGTTTCTGATACTCTGTCATCTCTGCAGATCTCATGTTTAGTTTAAATCCTTAACCTGTCTGCTGCGTGAATTTCCTTTCCTATGGCTAAGTCTGTGTACTGAGGTCTGAAAACTCACTTTTTCTGGGGGCGTCAGCCATCCTTGTGGATTGTGTTTGGGGAGGCGCCTACGTGGCCACAGACTGGACTAGACCACCCTTCAAATGTGCCTCCTTCCCTCCGGGTGACCTTGCCCCATGAGGGACATCTCGACCTCCGGCTTTTCACCTCCACCAGGCTCTTGTCCGCTCACAAGGAACCCGCATCTCTGGGCAGGGAGAGGACAGGCTGCAAAGAGGCAGAGCTTTAGGGGTGAAAAGATCACAGCCCAAAGCTGTGCCCCACCCGCCCTCCCAAGGCCCTCCTCTGCCCGCCCCACAGCACCCCGGGCCAGGGGACCCCAGCCCCTAATATACAGGCTTCTCTGGCTTCTGGGACGTTCCAGGGCTGGGCTGGGAGAACGAGCCAAGAGCTTGTGCTAGTTCACTGTTTTGTCTGACGCTTCTCTGTTACCATTAGTTCCAAAGCTTCCAGAAAAGACCCCATGTCATCTTGCCTTCGAGACTTTAACAGACCTAAAGTTAGTTCTCGCCCCGCTCTTTGTGCGACATATGTGTGTTCATGTGTGAGACCCAGGTCCCCTCCTTCTGCACCGGGCTAAGCCCACAAAGACCTCAGAGGAACATCTGTAGTTGGGGAAGGGTCATGTTTTTTATCAGTGTGGATATCAGTAGGTGTTGTCCATGAGGGACTGTGTGCCAGCAAGTTATCTCACTCACCCTCGGAGGTAAGTACTGTTCTTTTTTATTATTTAAATTAAATTAGTTAACATATAGTGTCTTATTAGTTTCAGAGTTCAGTGATTCATCAGTCTCATATAACACCCAGTGCTCTTTGAAAATAGAGCTACCTGGGCGCCTGGGTGGCTCAGTTGGTTAAGCGACTGCCTTCGGCTCAGGTCATGATCCTGGAGTCCCTGGATCGAGTCCCGCATCGGGCTCCCTGCTCAGCGGGGGGTCTGCTTCTCCCTCTGCCCCTCCCCCCTCTCATGCTCTCTCTATCTCATTCTCTCTCTCAAATAAATAAATAAAATCTTAAAAAAAAGAAAGAAAGAAAATAGAGCTACCCTACGACCCAACAATTGCACTACTAGGTATTTACCCCAAAGATACAAATGTAGGGATCCGAAGGGGTACGTGCACCCCGATGTTTATAGCAGCAATGTCCACAATAGCCAAACTGTGGAAGGAGCTGAGATGTCCATTGACAGATGAATGGATAAAGAAGATGTGGTTTATATACATGATGGAATATTACTCAGCCATCAGAAAGGATGAATACTTACCATTTACATCGACATGGATGGAACTGGAGGGGCTTATGCTGAGCGAAATAGTCAGAGAAAGACAAATACCATACGATTTCACTCATGTGGAATATAAAAAACAAAACAGGATCATAGGGGAAGGGAGGGAAAAATAGAACAAGATGAAATCAGAGAGGGAGACAAACCATAGGAGACTCTTAATCACAGGAAATAAACTGAGGGTTGCAGGAGGGGAGAGGGGTGGAAGGATTAAGGAGGGTGAGCACTGTTCTTACCTGCATTTCACAGACGGAGAAATCGAGGTGAAGAGAGGTCACATAATTTACCCAGATTCCCAGACTCAGGGATTGAAATCAGTGTGTCTCCAAGTCTGCGTTTCCACCCTCTGCCTGTGACAGCCTTGGAGGGGCTCAGCCGGCCAGGGGCAGGAGGGAACCACGGGGTCTATTGTGTATTTGAGGCACTTACAAACCACAGTCTCGGGAATTCAAATGAAGTACCTGGCAAACAGGGCATTACAATTCTAATTTTAGCTGAGACTCCTTAGTGTCTTCAAGAGCACACATCCACTCCAGCTCATGATGGGAAAGAAAATTCTTGTGTCCCAGCCCCATTTCAGTGCACTTAATCCAATTACTAAATCACATGCTGCCTCTTTATTATGTGATTATTTCTTCAAAATCCATTGATTTATGGGTTCTCTCTTTCTCAATTCAATTATGGTTTCCTTGCTTTCTGAGTTGTCTAGGAGTATAATTAACACACAATTCTCCTTCCTATTTCAAGTCTGAACTGAAGCTGTATTATATGCAATTAGTCTTGTTCTTTCTTCCATCTCTTACTTTGTTGTCAGCAATTACATCTGATTTCCAGCCTGTTCACGACACTTTGGCCTTATGGTCGAAGAGGATCTTTGGTTAGCTGGGCCTGGGGAGGGCCGTGGGGATGATGATGATGGCCTGGCCCTGATGTGCTGATTTCATGTGTGGAACAGATGCTAACAGGAAATTAGTCTCTAAAACGGGATAAGAATAGTACTTAGAAGCAACGGTAAATGACAGTTGGATTGTATTAGCTTTTCTAACAAGGCCCAGGAGTCCTCCCTCAGGCACAAGTCAAGGTTTTACTAACGTTATGAATTAGAAATCAGTTGAGGAAAAAATAGATTATGGGGCGCCTGGTGGCTCAGTCGGTGAAGCGTCTGCCTTCAGCTCAGGTCATGATCCCAGGGTCCTGGGATCGAGTCCCTCGTCGGGCTCCCTGCTCAGCGGAGAGCCTGCGTGTCCTTCTCCTTCTGCCTCTGCCCACTGCTTGTGCTTGCTCAAATAAATAAATAAAATCTTTAAAAAGAAAAAATAGATTATGTATACATTAAGAAATGTTTGTTTGTTTTAAGATTTTATTTATTTATTTGAGAGAGAGAGAATGAGAGACAGAGAGCATGAGAGGGAGGAGGGTCAGGGGGAGAAGCAGACTCCCTGCCGAGCAGGGAGCC